TTGTCTCAACTTTTGTCCATTCGTGTTGTTTTAAGTCAAGAACACATCTTATCACTTTGTTTTCATCTGTAATTTCTTCAACGGTGGTCTTAAGCGATGCTAATTCCGCCGCCGTCTTGTTATTTTGATCGAGAAGGACTTTTATCTTCGCATCGGTTTCAGCTGTAATTTGGCATTCCACGTCTTGTTTGTTTTGGATCTCAGTTACCACAGCTAAGAGTTTAGTTATGTCTTCCTTGTATATGTTGCATTGTTCACATGCGTGTTTTTTTTCGTCCGATTCGGTTGTTGTTGTTTTGTCAGCCTTTGTATCGTATTCGTAACTCGCCGTGGCCATATGCTCGGTTTCTTCTTGTCGATTTTCGTCAACTGTGGACTTCGTAAGAGTGGCATAGCTTCTCAAAGTGGTATACAATTGATTTTCATCGTTATCTTGCATAACAGTAATCTTTTTGTCGGTTGTTCCATCCCATTTCAACGAAAATTCAGGATTACTGAATTTAAAATTTTCGCCTCGCGGTGTTGACCATCTTCCGTTCATCTGTAATTCGGTTTCAACAAACCTTTTTAATGATTCTAAGTCGCCTTCCCATATCAAATCGCTTCCAGCTAATGATAACAAAGAACATTTTAAGATTTTTGGATCATTATCGCCGTCTTTAAGTGTAGAATTTTCACAAGATGAGGAGCACGTGAATTTCGACTGTTTTCGTGACCCCATTGTTGGTCTTCTTGTTCAAGTTGTTATTTTAGCTAAAGTATGTTTCAAACGACACCAGATTGTGCGTACGTGACCTTTTTGGCAAGAATACTTCGAGTATTAAATTACACTAAATAAGTAGGATATTCCAAAGTCACTGTTATATCTATTTTCATCAATTTAGTCTTAAAATGGCAACTCGTTTCAGACATATTGTGGTTTAAAATAAGTGTATTGAATTAACGTGCTTGCTTGCCGCGTGCGAATTCTCAAAAAGTCCGCACTTGAGTTGTAAAGCTTTCAAAATGCTTTTTTGCTGGTTTTTATATCCCCTATAAAACTTTAAATCGATAAAGCAGATAATAATGTTGATGAAAACATCATTTTCTAGTAACTACACATTGAATCAGAAGAAAAAGTTATCAAAATAGGTTGCGACGGTTGTTTGGCAAAATGTCGCTTCTCTTTGCAGGAAGCCATGAAATTGAAGTCCTAACAAAAACTAACCTTAGCAGTTCTTTTGGGTCCATTGCTCACTTATTTATCATGAAATCGCTTCACTAGAACATTTTTAATACTGTCTATGGAAAACTTTGTAATTTTCTGAACTAAAAGTTTATGGTTTCGAGGTGTTTATTTTATAAAATAGCACGCGCGACAAAATGGCACTTTTGTGGTTTCTCACGTCTGACAAACAACCAAAGATGAAAGTCCTTATTTCACCTTTTTATAGCTATGTGGAATACCTGAATATTAGGTTATCTTTTTCATGTGAGTATATAGATAACATTTCTACACAATAGTCCTTATCAAGGCTTATTTCAAACTAAAAAAAAGCGATTGTTTTTCAGAGCAGACTTCAAAAGAGAACATGTGTCTGACATTTTATAGCAGCCTACATTGGCGCGCAAAATATTTTTGGCTAAAAACCGTTGCTTTTCCAACAAAAACATGAGAAAATTGACCTAAAAGTCTTGCCTGATGTATGTTTAAATTGTTTTTCTTTTTATGGTGTTTTTCAGTGCTTTGAGTAGAGAGGTTAATAGCATTTGGTTTTGTCACCACAATTTGCCTTTGAAAATGTCGGCTGTCATTGTCTGGGTTAAAAACACCTCAGAAAATTCCTATTTTCTCACCTTCCCATCCTTGGTTTTGTTGAAAATAAATAGATTCTAGTACCATATGTCCTTATAAATATATTTGAAGTAATTAAAAACTTGAAAGATGTACAAGCAGTGTGTTTTGGCTTGCACACTTTGTTGAATTTGAACACTTAGTTACTGTTCTAAATTTCATGTTGTAAAACAAGATGCCCAAAAAAGCAAAGGAGTATATTTTATAATTTTTGATCATTTTCTAATTCATATCCCAATAGATGAAAATTGGTTATAAAATAGATATGTACTAATTTAGTGAATATTTTTTTTTTGGTTTTTATATAAATTTATGGAGATATTGCCCCTTTAGGTGAACAGCTTTTGACACAATTAATCATAAGATTCTGATTAAGAAACTAGAACATTATGGCATTGGAGGAATTGTCATGGCCAGAAATGGAGGACAGCAAGCGGTGAGGCGCGCGGGCTCATGTTCTCTTGATAATTCAGTGCACTATACAGATCAGCGGTTGAGTTTGGTAAATACAAATGGCTGTTCATTTTTATCGAGAACTAAATAATCTGAGCACGGCAGATTTTCTTATTGAAAATAAGAAGAGAAAAGGGAAGTTTTATAAAGTAGAGAGAATTATCTCTAGAAGAACGCGAAAAAGAAAGGTGAAGCAACATAAATGTACTTTAATAGTGTTTTTATCATCGTGTTGTATTGTAGAAATATGTGCTATTTTAATATAATAACTTGCTGTCTTTTATACATTTTAATAAGGCTGAATATCTTGTAAAGTGGAGTGGATATGGCTCATTGGAAAATAGTTGGGAGCCTGAAGAAAATTTAAATGCTTTTGCCTTAAGGTAAGCGGTATTTTAATATATTGAGACTTGATTGAGTTGATATTTTACATATTTACAAGAAGGATCATGCTTAACAGCTTAAAAGTCTGCGTCAAGGATAGACTTTGACATCTTGTTTTCTTTCATATTGCTGTAGAACATATTGGAACCCACAGCCAGCTGCAGATCTGCTTTCCTCATGTGTTGATACGCTTCACACTGCAATGTTGGAAAATTTTAAATAAAAAAGTATGCTACCAACAGTGCTAAACTTCAGGCATGATGTTTTCAGAGCTCTATTTAAAGACCAGGGTGTAGAGACTGAAGATGGAAGGCATATTTTGCTGGAAAAGAATGACTTTCAAAGGTGCCATCTCCCGGAACAGTGGGACCAGATACTAGACCAGTTGGGAAATGGAATAAAGATTGCGTTTCCTGTAAATGCAAGACCATTTATTTCTCAGAGCACAAAAACCTACAGAGTTATCTGTGGAAAATTAGTTAATGCCCAGATACAATATTGAGAAATTATCTATTACTTGTAGGAAACAACCATTTGTTGTTAATGTAAATATTTAGGATTATTTTCTAGTTGAGTCGGTTTTCTTTCATATACCGTAAACTCAAAAAATCTTGATGGATGGACTTTGAAATTAATGAAATCTTGTTGGAAAACCTTCTCAACTAGAAAATAAGTCAGTTATAAACCTTGAACTTGGGATATAACTACTGTATATACAGTAAGTCAAATATATGACTTACATCCCACGTTCTCGGTTTATAACTCTTACTTAATAACTGTGCCTAAAAATGTTTTGAGATGCACCGGGACTTTGTGCTTGTCCATTTGTTCATTTACCGTTAGATTCAATTTTTAATATTATTTGGCATTCCAGAAAAAATTCATACTTCCCCCGTAGAAGAATTTTTATATTAACCCTCAACACCCAACACCCAACACCCAACACCCCCCCACACTGTAGAAGGCAGTGGTTTCCTTGGTGTGGGGAGTATGAATCTCCTCTGGAATGACCCGTTATACAGTTTAAGACAGGTTGTTTCTGGTCAGGTGCACTTCAAAACTATCTATATTGTATTGTGAAATTTTGAATGTTGGAACTTGCCTGCAGACTGAAATGTTTTCCATGTCATATTAATGTTTTTCTTCTCTTTTTTCTTTCTTCTTCAAGCTCATGTTCCCAGTACTGGCTATTTTTTTTAGTGTATGATCTTTTTATATGTTCTTTCTCTCTTAGGTCCCATTGCCTTGACTCAAGTTTCAAAACGTCTGCAGCGGCATCCCAATTATTTGATTTTCTTAACACTATGCTTCTGGCTACGTCATTATTTTTCTCAACACCTTGACCACTAAATAGTTTTACAGTTTTGTAGGTTTCTAAAAATTTTGGTAAATGGTAAACCATGGCATGCATGTAGGTTGTGACATTGCATCTTCTGTAACCGATGTATGTGTTTCCTAGAGAAACAAAAAGATTAATCCATTCCTGTACTTTACAAAAAATGTTCCCAATCATGTCTTGTGAGGGTGTTTTGCAAGTGACTATGGAATATATTATGGAAAATTTAAGCCAGAGGCTTCTCACATCATGTTCAGCTTCTGGACGGACCAAACCTGTGAGCTTCTCAGGAAGTTCCTTCAATAATTTTTTCTTGTCAGGCCCCAATAAACTAGTAAAGTCATATTGGCCAGATCTTTTGCCATCTGCATTGGATTTTTCCCAAATTTCAAATGTGACCCCACAAGATCTAATTTATCTAAATGTTTTGTTGTTTGGTCCTTTCTCTTGGTCCAATTATCTTGCTGGTCCCAATGTACAGCTTCAGTAACCAAATTATTAATCAAAATATCCATGATTCTTAATAGCAAATGCAATTCATCTAGTATCACATGGTCCAAATCAATATCTATTAGGGGGGGATTCACACAACAGAAATTGTTTTTTCCCCCTGCTAATTCTTTCATTTCTTTTATTGTACGCTTAAGGGGTGGTGAGTTGTAGTGGTTCAAGTCGTAAGCCATGTTCCACCTCTCATCTTTGTGGATTTTGCACCAAGCGCAGGCATGGTTTGATGTGGCACCACTAAGACCCATCATAAGCAATATGAATTTATAATCCCCACCAAGAAAGAACTCTAAATTTACTATATCTTCCCCCAGATCTATTTTCTTTTCTCTTACCATGTCATTTATGTCACTCAATACATCTTTGAAACAATTTTTCAATACAGCATAATCTTCTTTGCCCTTTACAACCGCTATGGTGTGATTTCCTTTCGCTGCCAAAATATCATCTGTAGATTCCAAAAGAGCAAAGCTCATCAAAATAAAATTTGATGTTCTAGTCATTTGTGCTCCATCTCCAGAAATTTTAACTTTAATTGTTTCATTGTTTTTTGCAGCATTGGGGTGAGTAATTAAATATTCCTTTATTCTATTTTGTAACAATTCCTTGAATGGAAGTTGTGCTCCATGGTCTTCCCCGGGTGTTGAGGTTATATGGTACATTTTATCAAGTTGGCTTCTTCTTTGCTTAATTAAATATGACTTTGGCAAGCCATCTACCAGCATGGTTATCTCATGGTAAAAAGCATCGCCCACACAGAACTTATCCAAGAGAAACAGAACTTTTTCTACCTTATCCTTATCATCCTCTGAGAGGGCATCAAATCCAGTATTCTCTGTGCTACCAGTAACATTGTTTTCCATCATTAAATTATGAGCAATACCAGAGTTGATTTCTTTAACATTTACACTTTTCAATTCCAGTCCAAAAGATCTTGCGAACCATAAAGCAGTTTCAGCTCGTGACAAAAATTTTTTGAGCGTCCTTGACTTTTTCTTTGTTTCAGAGATATCTTTTCCTTGGTGTTCCATCTTTTCAGATTTTTCTAGAAGTTCAATATATTGTTTCAATTCTTCATTTTTTGTTTCTAGCTTTTCAATTTTCTCATCCTTTTCTTCCAATGCCCTCCCCATTTCATAATATAGTTTCCTCATTTCCGACTCCAAGTTGCTGTTTCTTTCCTTCCACTTTTGCATCTCGCCATGAATAAGTGTGTTTTCTTCCTCAAGTTGCTTAATTGAAATAGTTTGTCCATCAAATATATGGAACCTTTTGGCCTTTAAATCTAGTTGTTGTCTTTTCCTCCCCCTATTTTTGCCATACTCTACATACACTTTTGCCGCCATAACCCGAAGAGAGTTATTTATTTCTGACCGCACAACTTGATCATGTGTAAGACCAAATGAATTACCAGGAATTGCAAATTCAAACAACTCGATATATGTAAACTGTGGAAAATTTGAGGGCAAGTTGATGCCTATTTTCTTAGGATCACAGGTGCAGGATGTCTGGAAGGGCTTTTTCAACACCACTAGGTTGTACCAGGCTCTCAGTAGTGGGAAAGGAATATCCACAGCGAACAATATATCTTTGGTTGTAGCTTTAGCAGCATATGCTAATGAATGGCTTTCAACACTTAATTTCCATTGCAAATAAGTATGCATAGAGCACAAAGGCGGAACGTCCGACATTGCAAATACAGCCAAATATATAGAAAACAAGCAAAATTATAAAATATAACAGACTTTACGCCAACCGAGCCTTGATCGATGCTCAAATTTCAAAAGTTTACCAATAGTTATATTCGTTTTCAAGTTGAAAACAAATTTACCGCGAAATCCCGCCAATTTTAGGATGTTTACGAGACTGCAGCCTATATTGACAGCGGTTAAAACCATTGTAACGTAGCAACAGCTTTATAAAAGCAATGGCGGACAAGAAATATAACTTTTGGTGCGAAATTTGTGATATTTTTGTTCAAAATATGGTGTATTTCTCATCACAACTGGACAAACGCCTCTGTACAAAGTACATGCATTTCATCGCTTTGGGGAACATACTAGTGTATACATTTACGCTTCATACAAGTGACAATAATAAAGAGGAATAGTGTACGAAGCAATTCAGACGTGCACATTTGACAATATCTGCGAAGAACAAGTTGAAATTGGATCTGCAAAATACCTAATATGTCGAAATCACATACTTTCCTATACGAGACTATAGACAAATATATTGATTGCTCCGGAACATACTTAGACAACTCGAGTCGTACCCAATTTTTTACAGATAAAAGTTTGACAAAATCGGTGAAGATTTAGACGTGCACATTTTGGATTTCTCAACCGTAAGTTATCAAAAATACTAATTTTACACTATTCCCATTCAAATTATACAAGACGACGCCATTTTGAATTTTTATCTTGAGGCAAAATGCGCATGCTTGGCAGCCATGTTGGACTCCATTTCTGGCCATGTTAATAGTTGGTTTGAAAATTACCTAAGCAATAGAAAACAAATTGTAAAATTTGAAGGCACTCAATCAGAGGAAATGAAAATTAAAAGCGGAATACCTCAAGGTTCTATACTCGGACCTCTATTATTTCTCTTATACATAAATGACATACAACATTGTAGTCAACTGGTTTCCATAATACTTTTTGCAGATGACACAAGTATACTCTGTAGTGATACCTCCCTTAAAAACTTAATGAAACAATGCAAATTGAAATGGATAAGATTACAAATTGGCTTAATGTGAATAAACTATCTGTCAACACTGCGAAAACTAAACTTATTTTGTTCAGATCAACTAATAAGAGGCAAAAACAAAATATCACAATTTCGATGAATAATGAAAATCTAAAACAAGTAAAAAGCACAACATTTCTAGGAATCGTTATAGATGAATGTTTAACTTGGAAAAATCATCTAAATTCAATATCAAAAAAAAATATCAAATCTGATATCAATTATTTCCAGGATTCGTTTTACTAATCTCAAGTCTCTAAAACTTGTTTATTATGCATTAGTTTATCCATATCTTATATATGGCAACCTAATTTGGGGTAATACTTACAAAAACAGGATCGCGAAACTGGTAAATATAAAAAAAAAATTGTAAGATTAATGACTTTCAAATCTTATTTTGAACACAGTGAACCAATTTTTAATGATTTACAAATACTCGATTTATACAAAATTAATTCATACCTAACATGTTTGTTCATGTTTAGGTATTATAACTTACAAAACTTACCAGAAATGTTTGAAAATTATTTTTCAAAAAACAATGAGTTTCATAGTTATAACACAAGAAGTTCTTCACTATTACATTGAATTGAATTGAATTTATTTCCAAGTATGCTTATAGTACATTACATTTCCCGAGTTATATTATTTAATATGTTTACATATTTGGAAGGACAATAATAAACCCAAAAGGCTTTTGCGAGTAGTCCTCCTTGAGGTAATACTTATAGCTATAATGTTAATATATGTCTATTTCTAATATCTATCAGGTAAAATAAACATTGCGGTTCATCAGTTCAATTGACATAAAACATATAAAAGAACAAACTACAAAAAACATTCTCTCGCATGCAAAGGAATTGATGTATGGAATGGTCTTGATAACCATTATAAAAAAACAGGATCTTACAGCACATTCAAAAGAAAAATTAAAAAATATTTTTTACAAATCAATTCAGTTACCTAACCTCTGTAAAATAAATCAGATAACAAAATATGTATACTCTAGAATTATTGTATGTACTATATATATATTTATAATATAGCATTTGTAAATTCTGAACGCTGATTGGCTAAGCGCCGTGTTGATATAACTCAATGTCAACACGGGAAATTTTCCGCCGCTTGTAAACACGGAAATTTTTCTTATCCTTCGGGCTTTTGACATTGCTATATTATAAAAAAAAATATAAAACATTTTTTCCGTATTGATATATAGTTATATCAACACTCGTGGAAGTTGGGAAAACTCGAAATTGTATGAAAACACTCTGCCCTTCGGGCGTCGTGTTTCCATACAATTTCTCGTTTTCCCAATTCCACTCGTGTTGATATAACTGTATATCAAAACGGAAAATGTTTTATATTTGTTAAATATTTAATAGTGTACACATGCATGCATGCAGTTTTCGATATATAGTAACTACAGAATCTTCGACTTTATGAAAATAATTTTATTTTGAACATTTATTGTTAATTATGAACATTCTAGTTAAATATTTTTTGTTGAACTGTTAATGTTAAATTTAAATGTATGATTATATATAATTGATTACACTAGGGGCCTTAAACAAAAGCCTGATGGTTTCTAGTAGGCCTCTAGCCCTCATTTGTAAATAATATTAATTAATAATCAATGTTAAATTTGGGCGAAATAATTAAATAAATAAAAAAAAAATAGTGACATGAAAAACAAAATGTCACTGCTTTACAAATAAAAATTCTCATTGAAAAAACTAATGATGTATATAGGTATGCAAGTTCATTTAAACTAAATTTGGTCAATCATATATCAATAATATTTGGTTGAAAAGACCAGATTTTTTCATGCAACTGTTTCTGAGATATTGCCATTTTGGTGAAAGCTCTTGAATTCAATCACGTATTCGCCATTTTGCTTGTTCACTTTGGGGGTAGAAACATTGTAACAGCTTGCACGTTAATGAGTTAAATACTATTTTCTCAAGAATTTTGGACAATGATGTTAGTAAAGACACAGGACGATAATTACTTTTCAATTGACGATTATTTTTTTTAAAATGGGACAACATTTGCTAGTTTCCATACTGTTGGAATTAAAACAGCCATTTACCAAAGAGATGTTAAAAAATCTTGACAGAGATGAAGCAATGCCAATAGCACATATCTTCAACAGGGAATTTCCTATACCATCTTATAGCACCACATAGAGTAACAAACCATGTTTCATTGGTGAGTAATGAATTGAGTTGAGTTTGATTGTGCATACCATACTGCACCTGTTGTTCATAGAATTTTATTTCAAATAACTTTCATACAATATATGTATGTCTTCGAAGTTTGATATAATTTAGTTGGGTAATTGCTGAGTTAAGTAAGGTTTTATTGTGAATACTAGGATGCCATACTGTCTATAGTATTTCTGGTCTAATGAAGTAATTATAGCAGTTTTTACATAAATTTATACTTAGAATTTCTTTAGTTACAACAGTAGTTTACACAGCAGAATAATTGTCATGATTCCCTTTTCATTTGACCAAAATTTTATGTGTGTACACTGCATGTTGCTAAATTAAGGGGGTATCCTACACTTTTATGAAAATCTATTTATTAGTTGAAACATTGAATTGGGCAATAAGACAAGTTGAAAGCTTATTCCCTGTAACTTTATTTTATTTAAAATAACTTCCTTGCAGTATAAGTATTTTTTTGGCTTGGAAGTTTCATGTAATTTAGTTTGGTAATTACAGAGTTAAGTAGGGTGTATTTCTGGTCTAATGAAGTAATTATAATAGTTTTAATGAATTTATGCTTAGAATTCCTTTAGTTACAACAGTATTAATTCACATAGCAAAATAATTGTCAGGATTCCCTTTCCATTTGACCAAAATGTCATGTGTGTGTATGACTACATTTACTAGGTTAAGGGGTATCTTACAGTTTTATGAAAACGTATTTATTAGTTGAAAAATTGCATTTTTAATGCCTTGGAGGTTTGGCATAATTTAGTTAGGTAATTACAGAGTTAAGTAGGGTTTTATTGTGCATACCATACTATTTATGGTATTTATGGACTAATGAAGTAATATAATAGTTTTAATGAATTTATGCTTAGTATATATTTAGTGACAAAAGCAATTTACATAGCAAAATAACTGCATTTTGATATGTTAAGGAGGTTTCCTACGTTTTTATGATAATCTATCAGTTCAAACACTGCATTAGGCAATAAGACTAGTTTGGAGCTTATCCCCCCCCCCCCAGCAACTTTATTTCATTTAAAAGAAATACTGTGTGAGAGGCAATTTCTAACAATCGAATAAAGGAATATGAGTGTTTATTCGCTGTTTTTATAGATCCAAATCATGGAGGAAGCTGCTCTCTTGAGCCAGTCAGCGAAATAGAATTGGATACTTCAGAGTGAGTTGTAGCCTAACAACTCGATGGAGCAGATGTTGACACCATGGGAAGGGAAAAGGTGAAACCTACTGGTGCTACTGAGAAAAAGGGGAAAGTACACAGAGCAAAGCAAAAGTGCCCCATTTACATCATGTAGTAAAGAAGTTGTGCATTTGCCTTGTCATGAGGCAGGTGCGTAATTGGTCTCAAGACAGGATAAGCAGAGTGCTGACAGCTTTCGACATTCGAAAACCAAGGAGAAAATAAGAAAAGAACAGCTGAATGCATACACAAGTTCAATAGCACTTCTTGCTAATGCTATTTCTGGGAGGCATGCAGCAACCACCATCACATCAGCAACCACTACAACCACCAATGTACCATTACCCAATACATGCAGATGATGCAAATCAACAAACATGTTATAAACTATTATTAGAGACTTATTTCATGCAGCATATTTATATTACTACACTGTGTTAAAACTTAAGTGTTGATTAAAATACAATATTTGCTTTATTCTTATTGTTGTGTACAGATACAGTATGGTTTAAGGTCATCGCTTACATGGAGCAAGTTTTTCATACAGCCTGTTACACAATTCTTTTAAGTGGATGCATGTTGTGGACAACATACTTGCCAATGACATTGCAATCAAAATTGAACATTGTAGTACCACCTTTAGCTTATATAAATATTAGTTTCCTTGGAAAAATGAAGTTAAAGCCAGTCTAAACACTTCAGCATTTCCCTCAATGTCAACACCCAGTATCTCGTATATATTGTTATCGTCATTAAAACTCTAAACAATTTCATCCTGTTGTAGCATATCTCTAATTTTACACAGATTATGTAAGATACAACATGTTGCGACTTTGGGTGATAGGTATTCCATATATGTATATCTTTTCTTCATGAGGCATCTAAACCTGCTCTTCATTTGGCCAAATGCACATTCTGCCACCATCCAGGCTCAACTCGGTTGGTAATTGAATTTAACTTGACTACGATTTAAATTTCCATTATCTTAAAATGCATCATCAACCAAGGCAGCAATGGATAGGCAGAATTGGCCACTAACATTATCGACACATCACACATCAATATTTTCAGTCACCTTAAAAATAGAGAATAATACATGGGTGCGCGGAAATACCAGATTTAAGAGAAATAAATCTGGTTTAAGAGAAATCTGGTAAATACCAGATTTATTTCTCTTAAATCTGGTATTTCCACGCACCCATGTATTATTCTCTATTTTTAAGGCGACTGAAAATATTGATGTGTGAGCACACATATGTGTATTGTTCTGTTTATTATATAAACAATATTTGTACACCACCATAACTCAAACGAATAAAATCCAAACAAATTTATTACAAAATTCATACAGGAATGAAAAAATTGTGTATGAATGCAACTTATATGTTAAACAGTGCCCAAAACGGTATAACTTTCCAACAAAATTTATAACAATATAGGACAACTATATACAGTAAAAATAATGTTCAACAAACGGTTTTCAGTTCATTTTTCCTGGCTGTCATCTTCACTGCTATCACTTTCAAGAGGTAACAGTCATCGTAGTTTCTTACCTTTCGGACTAGCACCTATCATTGTGTTTTTTTCAGATAACATTCTTCTCCGTTTTTTTCCCTTACGGCCAGCAAAAATTTACTTAAATTGTATCAAGTTGAGACGGCGACAGTTCTTCCATTCTCGGCGGTCTATTGACATGGCCTGCAGGTTCACTTGCGATATAAGAATGAATTAAATTGACATCTAGTTCTGTTTTTCTTTTAGTATTCTGATTTTCCTCTGTTTCATTGAACTCGTCAATGTCCTTTTCATTAATTTCATCGAATCGTGTGCTCATGGTTTTTCAGGTTTTTGTTTTTAAAACTTTGTACGAAACAATTTAAAAAATGGCTGCTGAAAATTTTTTATTTTATTATCAATTATAAAGAGCGTTGTGATTGGTTAGTTAAATTTATTTCGCGACTTGTCATTGGCACACGTAACAATATCGTATTTTTACGTGTGTTGCTGTGATATTTTTATCGCGAGTCAAATACGACTTTTCTGAGTGCCCAAAATTTCTATATAACACTATACTTTATATAATAAATAGCATTAATTAATAATTATCCTCAAATAAATCACATATCAGTAATTTTTTTCTGGTATCCTGTGACAAGAAATCACCATATATAATGGTGCATTAAATTCTTAGCAATTCTTTTAGTTCAGTTTAATCCTGTTCCTAACAACAGCATTCTAAAATCCTAGAGAGTGCAAAAGTTAGCAGACAACGAAAACTCGCATCAGGAAAAAGCACTTGAGCTTGGCCTTTTGCATATATAACCCAGAGTTGCACAGTATCCTTGTATCCTGTATCCAGGCCACTTTATATAAATGTCAGTAAATCTTCAAAAGAAACATAGAAAAGAGCTGGGCATTAATAGGTTAATTACTTATTTTCAATTTGATTGATTGCCAGGAAAAAGATCTGGATCTTCGGATCTTTGAACCATCCTCACAAATATGGTGCTCTTCTGTAGAACTCTGTCTGTCTGTCTGTCTGCATTTTGTCAAATACTCAAACAAATCCGTAGGTGATTGATAAAGTCACCTAATTATGAAGTCACCTAATTAGTATCCCAATTAGATAAACAATACCTGTACCAGTGATCAACCACTGCTTTTAACACAAGGGAGTAAAATCCTTTTCTGTTGTAATAATGTCCAGAATATGCATACCATCTAGTGCTCCTGCACATTGAGGAAAATCCATTGAGGGGGGGGGGAGGGGGTTGAATCAATCTCGGACCGGATTGAGATCGATCTTAGTGTGAACATGCACCTGTTCCGCACGTTGTAACCAATAATTTATTGGCGTTGTAATGCCATTGTATGCAATAAAGTATTGGGTTGTAACTGAAGACAAAACCACAAGCATTAGACAAACGTTTTAGTTATAAATGTAATTGGCTTAGCTTGGTGGATGTTGGGGAGGCGGTAGGCCCGCTTCCCCGGATGGGTAGTGGAGGGTAGTGGAGGGTAGGGTTAGGGTGTGGGGTTAGGATTAGGGTTTGGATTAACGTTTGGATTAATCATAGACCCATTACAACCCGATACTTTATTGCATACAATGGCATTACAACGCCAATAAATGATTGGTTACAATGTGCAGAAAGGCTGGAACATGACCTTAGGTTACCAAAAGGAACATATAGGTTACCAACACACACGGACATCTCGGTTACAAAAATGATAACTTAAGTTAACAAAACGAACATTGGATCTTTATTGTAACTTGATGGTTGCACAAACGAACACTCTAAGGATTGTCAATCTCTCAACTATGACATGAAATGGGTTCTGTTCCTTCCCACCACTCATTGTATAATGCAGAATTTGAAAAACAACATTCTTTTTACTGGAGAGAACAGATTCTTTTTTGAATAAAAAGGAACAGGTGAAACTCGTCACATACATTCCAATAAAGACACAGGATTAGTCTTCACAGAAAATACAATTTGAGAGATTTTTCTTTTGCTTGGTTATTGTAAAGAACTTCCATTAAGTTTACATTAAGTATCCACAAAAACATTAACTCTAATAGATTGCGGGCGCAAGTCGTGTGTCTTGTCACATTTTGTATTCGTTTTACTGGGGTTTCAAGGGTTAAAATTAAATCACAACTGCAGCACATTAAAGCAGCTAAACCAAGATTGCCAAAGTTATACTTACCTAAATTCAGGGATGATGTCAAAAGGTGGAGTGCATTTTGGGAATTGTTTGAATTGTTAGTTCATACAAACAAAGAAATGTCGCCCATAGATGAGTTTAACTACTTGAACTCTCTGGTTGAGGGTGAAGCAGCAAGAGCAATTCAAGGATTACCATTATATATATAAGTCCACAAATGTCATATTAAAATTTAATTATTTAAACTCGAATTTGAAATGAAGTTAAAGTTCCTGTTCAGATGTGTATTTACTGGCATATTTAGAATTTTTTTCAAAGAAATGAGGGCAAATGCTCCTGATCGGCCAAATTTTTATTTGGTTGGCAAAAAGTCGTGATTGCCGATCACCATGATCGGGAACGTTATTCCGAGCCCTGTTAATCCTGAGGCTGACAAATTTGTACCACGAAGAGTGAGACAAGAATCTATAAACAGAGAAGTTTGTTGTGCTGTTGTTGATTCATTTGAATGTTGTTGATTCATTTGAACAAATTAACCTGGGGAGTGTAAAGAACTTCCATTAAGTTTACATTAAGTATCCACAAAAACAATAACTGTAATAGATTGCGGGCGCAAGTCGTGTGTCTTGTCACATTTTGATATTCTAGTCCGCATGTTGTGGCACAATATCGTTCAGTTTCATTAAGCACCCTTTAGAACTGAGTAATTTTTACAAAACTTACCATTATTGACCACGCTGAATCTGAATCCAAAGAGTTCCCAAGTCGTAGACCAGCAGTTTTTTGTATTTTGCTGTTTTAGTCATCACTCTTCATCAATAACACAATGCCATCTTTAATTTATTCTGTGCCTGTTCACAAAATTCCATTTGTTACACTTCCTTACATTATACCACAGGCCACCAAATTTGTGACCGAATAAGATATTTGAATGATGGAATGTAATCTCTATAACAGGACTGGATAACCAATAATTTGCATAAAAACAAAAGAATATAAATAATTTTATTGTTTTAAAAGCTTGAAATAATGTAAAATAACTATATGGCAGTTAATGCGGGATCATCTCCTTGCATTGTTCACTTTAAAGGCAAACTTTGTCCTGAAAAACAATTGACAAATAAAACATTGGAAACAATAGTTACCGGAGAAGAGAATGGCTTGAACTTCCCGAGCATGAGAAATACAATACATCCAGGAATATTGCAGAGAAGTCATTTGAATATATATCTCATGGTATCGAAAATATCCAGGAGCTACATGATGTTATGCCAAGATTTATAGACGGTAAAACTTAACAGAATCCCCAAAACTAGTAAGGTGCGTGGTCAAGTGATCTGTGTAACAAACTTGTTGATACTATTCACAATTCAAGTTTTCTTTAGGTATGCCATGCTAAGAACACATCTCTGATGTACCCAAATGTCATTATAAAAAGTCCAGACACGGACATGTTTTTCATTGCTTTGAATGTCTGTTCCAACATCAGTGCACATATATTCTTCGAGACTGGGAATCAAAACAAAACAGGAGAAGAATAATTTCGCTTAAGGTTAAGCAACATGTAGGTTCCCAGTGGTGTTCCACATTTATTGGATTTCACAGGTATATTTATGATAAAGTCGATACGATAAAAGCTATATTTTATTGGCTTGATCCAACTGCTTTACACTAATCTTCCTGGGATATTAGTAACAGCTATTAGGTCTTTAGTGAAAATATTAACTACATTGGATCAAATGCATAAATGATCTGGCGTTCTCATAATGTTCGCTGTAATTACCTTTATAATTTTTATCATATTGTCCATCTCGTAATTTAAGGTTGTGACACTGCAAGTTCGTTTCACGGAAAAGCCACTACTTTAAAAGTAGCAAGAAGCAAAGATGTGCATTTATCCTGTTTCGCAAATTTGGGCACATCCGTATGACCATCAGATGAGATAATACCTCAGTTATCCAATTATGTATGCCACCTGTATGGGTATGAACACCAGTCTGATGCAAACCTAGTCCGGTACCTTGTGTTTAAAGCTGGGAAATACGAGGAAGAGATGTTACCACCTAATGAAGATTCTCTTTTGCTACACATTTATTGTGCCGTTTAGCAATGTTATATTTGGAGAAATGCTACAGAACCCATTCTTAACCTTCCAAATTTCACCGAGCATGGTTGGAGTATTGATGAGAGTGGGAAGGTCTGTGTCAAATGGATGAGTCTTCCAGCTCCTGATGCTTGTGTTGGTAAACTGTAAGTGTACTAAGGGATCTGAGAACAACAGATGTTTGTGTAAATAATCTGGTTTACAGTGTATCGATGTGTGCAAATGTTGTGACTGCAAGAACGGTAAAGCAGACAGCGATGACCCAGATAATAGTGATAATGACATATTTGACTGTAGTGATTGCTCAAGTGATAGTGAACAAGAAAGTGATTAGTAAAAAGCACCAGTAAAAGTTCAAAGCAAGCCTCCGCACAGTTCGACACAAACCGTCCAGTTCTGTTATAGAGGTACTCTAGATTACATTCTGTCATTCAAATGTCTTACTCGGTCATAAATTTGGTGGCCTGGGGTATAATGTAAGGAAGTGTAACAATTGGAATTTTGTGAACAGGCACAGAATAAATTATAGATGGTGCCGTGTTATTGATGAAGAACGATGATTAAGAGAGCACGTGGTTGATGTTGCTGGTAAAGACGAAGCCGAAGTCAACAGGAAACATCCAACTTGCGAGGAAATTAAGCGAGCACATGGTTGATGTTGCTGGTAAAGACGAAGCCGAAGTCAACAGGAAACATTCAACTTGCGAGGAATGTCAGAACCGCAAAGACGAAATTACAGAAATAAAAGCGATTATAAACGAAATTAAAACTAACCAAAACGAAGACCGAGAAAAATCAATTATAAAAGTGATAGAATCGGATGAAAGGATAAAATCCTTGCACGAGGAAAACTCCAAAATGACGGAAGAGATCAAATGTCTTAAAGCTACAATATCCGAACTTGTCACTGACAATGAGAACATAAAAAATATTCTCGACGTCAAGCAGAATGAATGGCTGAAAATAGCGGAAAACCCGAATCCATCGAAATGTAGTAAAACTGCAACAACGCCGCCTACAACCTCAGTACAAAACCAGTTTGAACTGCTCAATGATGAAAATTGTGAGAGCGGAATATCATCGCCTGAATTAGACTCAAATGAGCAAACGAACACGTACGCAAATGGCCAGATTCATGAATATAGATCAAAGGCACAATCGAAGTTTGAAAACCGAAAGAACCAAACTCATGCGCAGCAGAAGGAAAAGAAGAACCATGTCCATGCAAAGAAGACCGGATCCGAAAAAGGAAAAGAAATTAAAAAAGTCCTGGTAATCGGCGACTCGATGGTGAAACACATCGATCGGGTGAAAATTGAGCGAGTTGCAGGTTGCCAATCAGTCGTCCACTCTTACAGCGGCGCAAGAGTGGAACAAATCAGTTCAAAAATTAAAGAATATTGGTCAGAAGGGGAGCAGTATGACACAGTTCTCCTTCACGTGGGCACCAATAACCTCGCTTCTGAAGAGCCAGAAGAAGTGGCATCTAAGATGGATGGGCTTATCAAAGACCTCAAAGATCACGCCAAGAAAATTGCCATCTCAAGTGTAATTAAAAGGTATGATAACCGAGTTCCGGCTAGCAAGATAACTTGTTTTAATATCCTTGTTAAAAACTTATGCATGAAACATAATACCACATTTTTAGATAATGACCACATTGACAGGTCGTTACTAAATCGCTCTAATTTGCACTTAAACCAACAAGGTGATAGGGTGCTAGGGAGCGTTTTCTGTACATATCTGAAATCGTTTAGAGTAGGTAATAACAGGCAGTTTTTTCACCAAGCTCATGGACATCGGAACAGAGAATGGACAATGTACTTGAAATATGTGAATCAAATAATGAAGATAGAAGTCCTATTTCCGTAAACAATGTGAGTAGCGATTTTTTCACTAGCCTTAATTCCATTCCCAATGAAAGAGGTTTTAAAATGGCTTTTCTTAACATTGTTAGTTTGCCAAAAAATATTGATGAAATAAGGTATTCAATGTCAAACAAATTCATTGATCTTATTGCTTTCAATGAGACTCGTCTTGACTCAAGTATAACTGATGGTATGATTCACCTTAATGATTATGATATTATTAGAAAAGACAGATCAAGAAATGGAGGTGGAGTTTGTATCTACTTGCGTAGCTCCATCAACTATATTATAAGACAAGATCTAATTCCCTCTGAATTGGAGGCTGTCTGTGTAGAAATTATTAAGCCACTCAGTCGACCATTTCTTGTTACAACCATTTATAGACCACCCAATGCATCATCTGAATTCTTTGATCATTTTGAAAAATTAATTAAAGCCATTGATGATGAAAATAAAGAAATGTATATTCTGGGTGATCTAAACTGTGATATGCTTAAAACAGACAAAGATTCGAATTCTCCAACAGAGAAAATCAAAACATTGTATGAGTTGTATCAATTGTTACAATTGATTGATGAAGCTACCAGAGTAACTATGACAACCTCTAGTCTTATTGATAATATAGTCACCAATACACCAGAGAAAATTTCTGACTCTGGTGTTATCCATACTGGATTAAGTGACCATAGTTTGGTATTTGCAATAAGGAAAATTTCTGTTGTTAAAAAACAAGAGAAGAAAGTTGAGATAAGAAATATGAAAAAATTTGATCATCAAAAATTTGTTGAGGATCTGAGGCAACAACCCTGGGAAAATGTATACTTCTTCGCTGAAGATCCCAACGCTATGTGGGAAATTTGGAAGAAATTATTTTTAGAGGTCTTGGATAACCATGCACCACTTCAACATAAAAAGATTAGAACAAAAAAAGTTCCTTGGATTACAAGTGCTATAAAGCAACTTATAATCACAAGGGACAGATTAAAAAGAAAGGCCATTATTACAAACCTAGAGATAGACTGGTTAAATTACAAAACAACGAGAAACAAAGTTAATATTCAGCTAAGAAATGCTAAAAAAAAATATTACTCCACTAAAATTTCTGATAAAAAATGCAACCCTAAAGAGGCTTGGAAAACTATAAACGATATACTAGGTAGGCAAAGCAAACCAACAGTAGTAAATGAGTTAAAATTAGGTGAAAATAGTTTGGCAAATACCAAAGATATTGCGGAGGGCTTTAATAATTATTTTTCAAATATTGGCCCTGATCTAGCTAGCAAAATTGATACTCCAAATTTGAACTTTCAAACATATATTGAAAAGACTAAATCAGAATTCAGTGCATTCCAGCCAGTCACTGTCAGCAATGTCTACCATGTTTTACATGGTCTTTCTGGCAACAAAGCCACTGGCATTGATAAGATCTCCAGTAAAATTATTAAAATAGCTGCACCTGCTATTTCAGATTCACTCACATATATTTTCAATCAAGCTATTATCCTATCCATTTTCCCTCACGAATGGAAAACGGCTAGAGTAATACCTCTCTATAAAAATGGCCAACGAAACCTCCCAGGAAATTACAGACCAATTTCAGTTCTGCCTGTCAGCAAAATTATGGAACGAATTCTGTACGATCAGCTATACAATTATTTAACCAAATTTGAACTTCTGAGTGACTGTCAATTCGGTTTTCGTAAATTTCACTCTACAGCTACAGCATTACTTGACTGTACAAATGATTGGTATATGAATTTAGACCGCAAAATGTTTAACCTGGTAGTCTTAATTGACTTAAAAAAAAGCATTTGATACTGTCGACCATCAAATATTATTGAAAAAATTAGAGCTTTATGGAATAAAAGGACAAGCTCTGTCTTTTCTAGAATCATATCTCTCAAATAGAAACCAAAAATGCCAAATACAAGGATCTGTTTCATCAGAGAAATTGATCAAATGTGGCGTACCACAAGGCTCTATTTTAGGGCCCCTATTTTACATTAACGATTTGCCTCAATGCCTGGATAAAACAAAACCTCGGTTGTTTGCTGACGATACGAACCTGACAGTTTCTGGAAACTCTATTACTGATCTTGAAACTGCAGTGAATTCTGATTTGGAAAAACTTAGGAAATGGCTAATTGCCAATAAACTTAGTCTAAATGTTGCTAAGACTGAGTTTATGTTAATTGGTTCAAAACAAATGATAAAAAATATTTCAAATTTGCAACTAAATGTGAAAATTGAGAACGAGTCAATTAAACAAGTTTATGAATCCAAAACTCTTGGAGTGACAATTGACCAGCCTTTATCTTGGAAAACTAACACTGAGAATATTTGCAAGAAAATTACATCTGGAATATCGGCTCTTAGGCGTTTAAAAGAATTTGCTGATAAGCAAAAACTTCTTTCTGTATATAATGCTATTGTTCGCCCATATTTTGATTACTGCTGTGAAGTATGGGATGTGTTTGGAGAAACGCGATCAAAAAGACTCCAAAAACTACAAAACAGAGCTGCTCGGATTATTTTGAATATGAGCAATGACATAGATCACTCTGTTGCATTGCAAGCATTGGGTTGGAAGCCACTTAAAGCAGAAAGGAAGAAAAGTAAAGCAAAAATCATGTACAAATTATTGAATAAAATGGGACCCAAATCACTCAGTAATCTCTTCACATATAAGGGTGAGGTGACAAACTACAAACTTCGGAACATTTCAAGTAGTCTTTGTTTACCACAACCCGCGTACTAATAATATGAAAAAAAGTTTTGTGTATGACGGAGCACACCTTTGGAATTCTATTCCTAAAGAAATAAGAGAGAGCAAATCCTTTTCTTCCTTTCGAAAGAAAATCACTACTCACATTGACTGATAGCTAATTAACATAGATGTTAATATTACTTGTATATAGATTACTATACCTTAGTTTGTTAGTTCATATAATACTATATATCTTATATAATTTTGTAAATAGTTTTAAAATTCTTTTCTGTATAGTTTTCGCACGCCCCTCATGGAAATCAGCTTCGGTTGACGGGGTCAGCGTGTTTAAATAAAGTTTATCTATCTATCTATCTATTAAAACGGCAAAATACAAAAAACTTATTCAGTTCTAAAGGGTGCTTAATGAAACTTGTTTTCTGGTTGCTTTTTTGTGCCACAACATACGGACTATTCATTTTACAAGGGTTAGAATTGAAGACAAATTTAAAGTTATATTTTGTTTAAATCGCCTAAAATTTGATGAATAAGTCAAACGTTTATTAAGCTATACAAACCATTAAGTATAATACTTATATATATGCATTTTGGTGAAATGGGTTTCCATCATTTGGAGTAAACTTAAGTTCATAAAAATCTCAAAAGGAACACTTTCTGGACATCTGCAGGTAGGCCTTTACAGATTCTGCTAGTAAATTTTTAAAAAGTTGCTACAAAAACTGCTCAAAAGTTTCCAGAAAACTGGAGAGTTGCTCTTAAATTTCAAAAGGTTTCTGGTATTTTTCATACATGTTTATAAAAAGCAAACTAAAAACTGAGCAAGCTAGTACAATTTATGCTAGGTAAATAACAAAACAATTTCAAGGCAAGGTTTGGAAACAAGTAGATACTGTTAATGCATCATATTAAAACTAAGTTCAACATGGGCTGAACAGTGAACAGTCTCCAGAAACGTTTCGTACATCCTGATTTCAAGGTACATGCATTTGTGCTGATCAATTTCTTTTAGTGTTGTTGTATCGGAGCATCACTGAGAATTCAAGATAGTCTGTAAGTGGGGAATCTTGCTGGGCGATGAATGCATTGTTCAATGGACTGAAGACTTTTTCAGCAGAAGCTGAACTCGGTTCTTAACGAAAGGGTATCGCAAGATCATTTACATTTTATTGAATAACTACTGAAAACTTCACACATTGCTCATGGGCGCTTAAACAAATCTTTTTTTCTGATTGTTTTGTTGTCTTCTCAGATCTTAATATAATAATAATAATTAGTAAACCCCTTTAACCGGTTTAATAAACCACTTGGCAGTAAAACTGCATTACATGGTTTTTAAAAACATAGTGGCACTGTCATTAAAATTTTTATTGTCTCAAACAAAAGAACTCCTAAAACTGTGAAGTAACTTATTTTAGAAAAACTGAAACCATGTGATGTCATTTACCCAATTATGTATATAATACATATATAATGGGGATATTAGTAAATGTTGTAAATTTTTGAAGGATTTGTTTAAAAAACAGTATGCTTAATGATGTTGGTTAAATTAACAAACATGGTAGTAGTGAAGTAGTTGTAGTTCACTACTGTAGCAAACTACAATTTTCAAGTAGCCAGTAGTTTTTGACTGCTTTTTTAAAACAGTAGCTGTAGTTATAATGAACTGCATTTTGCCTAAAAGTAGCCAAGTAGTTGAGTACTTTTCAAAAAGCGAATTGATAGAATAGCATGATATTGAGACATGGTTTGCTTAAAATCAATACGAATGTTGCTTTGTGTTTACTGTTGCTTCTTGTAAGTCGATTTTTTTTTTAGTCGATTTTTCTTTTTTTAAATTATTGATTAAAACCATGTTAAATACAACTTTAAAAACTCATTAATAATTCATGAAGAAAACACAAAGAAAAATCATAGCATGTCGTATCTGTATATGGCATACAGATTCATGTTGATTTGCATAATTTGATTTATTGGCTTGGACAACGTTTATTTTTAAAATTACTTAGCCAATTAATTAACTCATAAGATGAGTCGTTTTTTAAGCCATTTACAACATTCACGTCCGTGTTGTAAATAGTACGTATAATTTTAAAAATAAAGGTTTTTATTTGTATATAACATGGTTTTAATCAATTAATTATTTAAAGTGTGTCGAAAGAGAAATTTAGACGATATGTCTTTGAAAAGCACAAAGTTCAAAGAAACTCTAAAAATGAATAATCTACATTATACTATGTTTTCCAGTGTGCCATTTAATTTCTGCTCAGTTGTGGCTTCATTACTGCATGCTTGTGCCTGACAACAAATTGGCATGTTTTTACGGTTCACGATTGTCTATGAATATTATATTATTGCTCTGCGCTTTGAGAAACTAAGCCACCAATAAAAGTGGATTTTTGTGGACAGTGGATTCTTGGTTTCTCACTGGAATGCACAATTACTTGATGTTACTGGGAGTATTGAAGAAATCTCAAATCTGCTTCACAACAAACTTCCTTCAAGTTCATTGTGTCATCACTCTTCCTTTAATGTAGGAAGCTAAATTTAAATTCCCAGGCATGTTGATGTAGCAGCCCAGTAAAAATGTACACATGCCTTCCTCCATCTCCCTAGTACTTCGTAGTCTTTCTCCTTCCCTAGTTTAATGAGAATCTTTTGAATTTCTAAAACAAGATCATATAATATTTAAAATACACCAAGGTACAATACTCTAAATGGGTTCTGTATTTGTAGGTCATATTTATTTTTTCCAATGTGCCACAAATAAAAAAAATGGGTAAAAACTGGTTTCCCTAATATTTACCTGGATGAACACCAGATGAATGATGAGTCCAATTGTACAACAAAATATAGTGTAGGTTCCATACTTTGCCGAATGCCCCATGCTGTCATATTGTCCATCTCCAGCTAAAACAACTTCTTTTCCTTTCAGAGATTCCAATATCTTTTTCTGGTAGGACCGCTAATATAGAACAATGGAAGGAAATAGAAATGCCTTTGGTGGTAGTAATATGTTACCTCATTGTACCCTAAGATCCCCATGTTCTTGAAAACTCGGAGCACCTACAAAGAGGATCATCTTATGAATAAATGTCAACCTTTGCATTGGATATAGATTGGAGGTTTTAGTTGGTTAACTTGCTGACAGAACCACCTGCAGACAAAATAGCAAAACTGAGAAGAATAATTCCAGTTGGGAACTTTCCAAAAAGATAGCTGTGGTTTTTCCAAGTAAAATGTTCTTTGCAGTTATTGCACCCAGGTATCAACAATCAACATGGTTCCACAACACTTGGTTTTCACCTGGGGGTTAGACTTAAAACAATAATGACAATGTTGAAAAAGCATCATTAACTGGGATAGGAAAATAATGTCTTTGGGCTCATCTCTTTTGTTCCTTCCTTCGTAAATCCTAGCAAAATATAATAAACAAAATGTTAAAAACCTAAATTATTTGCTGGATCTGCAATCACTGACTTTCACAAACATACTGTTTACAAATTAGATCATCATCATCAGCAATTTTCTCGTATTCTTTTCTCAGTTGCTCAGACTTCCATAATGGAAGCATTTTTGTTAGGATCAGTTCTATATGCTTCCATGTCTTCCATGAGTTCCTCAACAACCTTATCGAAATAACGATAATTAACAACACATTAATTATAAGATTTTTTACATATACTGTATGTTTTATAATCAGGAATGCAAACATAGGTAAATTTTCTGTCTGTACTCATATGTACTAACCTTCACTTTTTACAGCCGGCTTATCCTATTTAGTAACAATGTCCTCCACCAAGTCCTCAGGGAAATCATCGAAAACGTCTTCTAATATACTGTTCAATTGGTTTAATTAAATCTTGCTCCAACTTTCATTTTTGTCCACTCGTTGTACAAAAGTTGTTCAGACAATTTAATGTTTTTTTCTTTTTCTGCCTTTAGTTCTTTCTCTAATACTTCCAGTTTAAATTTAATTGACATGCATTGAGCCTTGCATTGTTTTGCAACCTTCGCAATATCTGTCTGTCCGGCATCCTTATTTTGTATAAGCCTCCTAAAAGCTGAAGCTCTACTGTTTCCAGCATTTCAACCTCACATTTGATGTCTTGCATTTTTATTAATTTTAGTGTATCTTGCAAGATAAGAATCAGTGACAGTGTGATAAAGATCAGAACATCTAAATAGCCATTTATATAGCCGTATAAAAATTGATAAAAAACCATTTTATACCATTAGCGAATGCCTTAATGCGAAAACTCTATTGTTGAAATTGAAAATCATTAATGTTGTGGTAATTAATTCAACTCTGTAATTGTAGAATGTCAAATGCATTGGATTGTTCTTACCAGTAATAGCATTTTTCACATGTCACAAGGAGTACATTCTTGAGGACTAGCTCATGTATCGATGGTTGTTGAAGCAATGCTTGTTGTGGCTCACCATGAACGAGTATCAGTGGCAGAAATCTCAGTTGACCACCTCCCACCTTTATGGAAAATTGAATTTTCGGACATTCTGACCAAAGGAGGCCAAAAACAACCTTTTCAAATGCAAATGGGGGGGGGGGGGCTATGTCAGAAATTTGAAGGTTTTTCTGAAAATTTAGGAGGCTTTGCCCCCCTCCCCCCGCCTCTGGAAAAAGTGAATGTTCGCCACTGACGAGTATTGCTTCTTTTCACTGTTCATTTCGTATGAGATTGTTCTACTTTCCAATGCAAGTACTGATGTGAAATTCTCCATCTATCTAGCCTTACTGGATGACAAAGCCCAGAAGAAAGTGAATGGTCCAAGATCTAGCGCTCAGAAGAAACATTGGAAATTGATTCTAAAGTTCAAATTACAACTGTAGTGTGATTTGCATGTGCATTGTGCATACAACACATATGACACATCAATGCAAGAATGATCAACCGTAGTTATGAAACAGTGATAAGGCAATCGGAAGCACTGATTCCAGATAAGTGGCCTACAGGGAATGTATGCCTCTTGGTCAGAAGGGAAAAAAAGCAATAACAGCTATTTGTCAAGGTTTTGTGTGCTTTCCCGAAGATATTTCAAAATATATGTTACAGTTTATAAATATTAGGCTGTTAGCAATATGGAAAATTTAGACCAGGAATATGAAAGTCCACAGTACCAGCCAGAATTTTTCATATTTTGTGATCCCCGCTTTTTCACTGGGTGGAATTGCTTGGAGGAAGGGAAGTAAGAACAAATTTTGGTAATGTGATTGGTTAGATTAACCGCGTCTTATTTTTTCACAGCAATTTCTTTTTGCTGACCAATCATACCATTGAATGTAGTTTTTGCTTAAAGGGCACCTTTCGAGAGCCCCTTGTTAACATTCCAGGACTACACCCACTGGTGAAAAGGGGGAGATATCCAATAAATTTCTAGCACTAAAGAATGTTTCTCGTGCAACTGCTGAAAATGTAACCCAGTTGATTGAGAAGACTCTGAAGGGGTATGTCTCATGGAAGCAAACCTCTGCAATACGATGGTTGGTTTTGGGGCAGATGGAGCAGGGTTTAAATGCAGTTAAATGCAATTTAACTAAGTTAACAACAAAGAGCGCAGTTAGTGTGTTAGTTATAGTATGGTCAGTGATTTCTGGCATACCAGCATGCGCATGGCGATAGTAGGTCAGCAGCTGTTAGTGTTTGAGCATGCGCAAACAACAGGCACGCATTGTTCGGAAATCCTTCTAGGCTTGGGTGCTTATTATCGGAAAGTTCGTATTTTTTATTCATTTATTCGGTTTTGCAGGTGTTTTTTTCTGGGTCGATTGAGTGTAGTTCAAAGAGTATTGTTAGTGTTAGTATTGAGTGTTGTTGGTGTCTCGTGGGAACGGGATTCTCGAGAGTTATCAAAGGAAAGTATGGCTCGTCGATCGACAAACAACAGCATGTCTGCCATGATGGCGGTTGTAGATGAAAATTCCATCGCACAAGAAAGCTCGCCGACATCGATTTCCGAGCCTAGTCAGCCTGTATCGAGTCAAAATTCGTCGTCGACAACTGGGGACTTGCCACAGGATAATCCAGCCTTAACCCAGGCGTTTTCCCGACCATTAGAGGAATCTTTGCCTGGCATTTTCGCAGTGGTGAGGGCACAAGTTGGCGGGAGTCCAAGTTCATCCGCACATGGTCTTGTCAGTGCAGCAACAAATCTTGGCGCATCGCCTTCAACATCGTACAACCTCTCAGGGCCTCCTACATCTACAGGTAACCTTACTGTACCGTCATTTATATCTACATATTGCACGTTAGACAACGCACAGCCACATGTTGCGGCTTCTACCCCTTCATTTGTGTCTCAGCCACTGCATCGTGATGGTCTAGTTAGGCCCTCTTGGACGGGGGGTGGCGACAGCACATCCTTAGATTGTCTGCCCTCCAGTTTGGCCTTACCAACAGGGAGTCTTTTACCTTCTACGAGCGGGTATCCAGGCCTAGCAAAGGCGTTTGTGGTTGGTCCAGGGTATGCACCAGTTCCCAACAAATTGGTAATAAAAATTACAACAGGCATGTTTATTGAACTAGCCGATTTGTTAGCTGAGAACATTAAAGCCCAAGAAATTGAACCCCAGGCTTTCCTAGAGGGAAGATTGCTAGTGTCCAATTCTAAAAAGCGGGTGGTGGAAGTAACCGACATTTTGTCCTGGATAGAAGCTTTCACCATTTACTCCTTGATTCTGTGCCAGTCTTACCCAGCGAGATGGACAGATTTGAGTCAGTACAAGTTGCTGATTATTCAGACAGCAAAACGTTTTCCTGGTCTTGCATGGCTGCATTATGATGGGGCATTCCGGAAGGAAGCAGCAGCTACTGGTCTTACCGACTGGTCTCAAATGAACCTAGACCTATATAACTTTCATACCAGAGCTGTTTGCATAGAATCGACCACAACCCCACAACCAACCCCACTTTGCCAATCCTCAACAGAGACCTCAGGGCCATCAGTGAAGGGTCAGAACCGTCAGAGGGCATCTCGGTTTTGCCATTCATGGAATGATCATGGCCACTGCAGGTGTCCATACGGGCAGTGTAGATTTCTCCACAAATGCGAATCCTGCAGTGGAGACCACCCATCAGTCAAATGTCCATACCGGGGGGGTGGCAGTGCCAGCAGAGAGCGTTCCCCTTCCCCTTTTGTCAATAAAAGACGTCGTTAAGCATGGAAGTCCCATGTGTCCCATTGTAAATAGTACTTTATTGTGTGGGTTACAAACATTAGTACCACCTTGTTCTGTTCCAGTTAATAAGTTTTGTTTTTCAGCTTCTGACTGTACTTTGCAGCATGGACTGCCAAAAGCGGTTGGCCATGAGCCAGGCGCTAACATACTGGGTGTATTTACAGGTTTAAAACCAGTAGCGGAAGTATCCCCAATCCAAGTGGATAAACTTCAGCTTGAACTACGCAACCACCCGAACCAGGGTAAAGTAGCATATGTGTTAAATGGCCTGAAGGAAGGCTTCCACTTGGGCTTCGAACCGTCCACTACCTCACTAATATCAGCATCTCGGAACTTACAATCAGCATCCCTCCATCCATCAGTTATTGACAAATATTTACAAACGGAAGTAGGAAATGGACGAGTTGCAGGACCTTTTTCCTCTCCCCCTTTGTCAAACCTGCATATAAGTGGTTTCGGAGTGATTCCCAAACGCAATCAGGAAGGTAAATGGCGTTTGATACTGGATTTGTCCAGTCCAACAGGTAACAGTGTTAATGATGGAATTCCAAAGGACAAATTCTCGGTTCAGTACATGCATGTGGATGATATCATAAATGCTGTCATGGAATTGGGAAGGGGGGCATTGATAGCAAAATTTGACATCCAAAATGCTTATCGCATTGTCCCGATACACCCAGATGACCGTCACCTCTTGGGCATGCAATGGCGAGATCAGTTCTATGTGGATATGACTCTCCCTTTTGGTCTTCGGTCAGCACCATACATTTTCACGTCCATTGCGGATCTCGTGGAGTGGAGTCTAAAACAAAACCATGGAGTGGGGTTTCTAGAACACTACTTGGATGACTTCCATACATTGGGTCCCCCAAACTCAGTGATATGTCAGCGGAACTTGGACACATGTATTCAGTTATGCAAGGAATGGGGTATACCTCTTCATCCAGATAAACTTGAGGGCCATCTATGTGCATTACAGTATTGGGGATCGAATTAGACACAGTTAAACTTCAAGCGCGTTTACCAAAAGAAAAGTTTGATCTAATTATGTCTTTACTTGTGGCTTGGTCACACAAACGCTATTGCATCAAGAAAGATCTTGAATCCCTCATCGGTTACCTACAACACGCCTGCCGAGTCATTCCTCCAGGCCGCACCTTTCTTCGCCGAATGATAAACTTACTCACAGCCTTTCGACGAGAAGATCACCCAATCCGCCTCAACAGGGGGTTTCACTTAGATCTTGCATGGTGGTTAGAGGTCTTTAAATCCTGGAAAGGAGTAAGTTTCCTACTGTTGCCCTGTTGGGCTCCATTACCGGATTTTCAGATTTCATCCGACGCCTCGGGTACTCTTGGCTATGGAGCTATCTTCATGTCGCACTGGTTTCAGGTTCATGGTCAGACGCCCAAATCCATTTGTCCATTGCATATAAGGAACTGTTCCCTATCGTCATAGCAGAGAGCCTTTGGGGACACCTATGGGTATCCAGACGGGTAGAATTTCGGTCAGACAACACTTCTGTGGCAGAAGTGGTACGAGCAGGCACATCCAGAGACCAACATCTGATGGTTTTACTCCGGTACCTCCTACTCATGGCTGCAAGGCATTCCTTTACATTTACCGCATCACATGTTCCGGGTAAGTTAAATCCTATTGCTGACTCCCTTTCCCGGTTTCAATTTCAGCGTTTTCGACAACTGGCTCCTCAAGCAGATCCGGTGGCAACAGCAATTTCTCAAGCCCTGCTCAACGATCTAACGAAGGTTTGACAGAAAAATGTCGCTACTATATGACTCAGGGTTTGGCACCATCCACCTGTAGAGTATATTCTTCAGCCCAGCGACGCTTCCTGGACTTCTGTATTCAGGACAACCGTGTCAGGCCAAATGGTTCTATTTTACCGGCCAGTCAAGAAACATTGATGCGTTTCTGTTCTCACCTAGCTGATAGTCTACACCATACAATAGCTGTTGTGGTTTCCCAGCCAATGAATGTATAAGTATGATGGCAAAGTAAATACATCAATAAAGGTATACCTATCGGGCATACGTTCTCTCCACATTGATGAGGGATATCCAGACCCATTAGCAGACTGCCTACAACTACAACGGCTCCTTCGGGGTATTAAACGTTGCCAAGGTTCAAATCTAGTGAAACGTCGTCCAATAACTGGGGAACTTATGCAGGTCATTTACAACTCATTGGATATGTCGGAGTATAACCAGGTCATGCTATGGGCAGCTTGTTGCTTGGGTTTCTTTGGTTTCCTGCGTGCGGGAGAATTTACAGTCAACAGTCCGTTTGATCCCAAGTTTCACCTTATCCCACAAGACCTACAGGTCGATTCATTAGTGGACCCCAAAAGTATGAAAGTTTTTGTGAAGTGTTCCAAAACAGATCCCTTTCGGCAGGGATGCTTTATTTATATTGGCAAGAACAGTTCCTCCATGTGTCCAGTCAAAGCTAT